GGTGATTTCTCCCTTTCTGTCTCGCTCTCTCTGTCTGGCGAGTGCACGCGCCCTATAGTGAAAACCTCTCAAAAAAAAAAAAAAAAAAAAGATTCTAAAGGCAGATCTGAACTTCAGTCTGAACAGCAGGACAGCTTTCCTGCTCATGTGATGCAGTTTTGCCCAGAGATTAGAACCCATTCTTTTGAATCCTAGCGTTGTAAATGTTTGTGGGGTGATGATGGGCAGGCCTCAGTACTCAAAGGTGGACTATTGATGAAATAGCCCCTTGTGTAGTATTTGTAATATTTCTTGCAGAGCTATTTTATTGGATTCTGGGTCCCATTAATTTTCTTTCTTTTTAATCTTTGTCTCCAGGAGCCTCCAGAAGATGATGCAAACATTATTGAGAAGATCCTGGCATCTAAGACCGTTCAGGAGGTCGGTGGTTTATGTTTCTAGCTTTTACATCACTGGGATGCATTACACCCACCTTGAACAGATACTTGGCTAGAAAGCCTAGAGTGATCATGCTTGGCTGGAATTAGAGCTACACAGGACTATTGCTGGCTAGTCAACGCTTATTTTTACATTCATGGAAGATTTAGAACACAAAACTCTTAAATATCTAGAATGACTCAAACTGATCATTTTTTCCATTGTGATCCTGGTAAAGGTATTTATCCCTTAGTTGCTATAGTCCATTCAAAATCATCAGAGGGCCAAGAAGAAGAGATGGAAAGGAATCCTAATGAAATGTTGTGTTTTATTTTTTTCCTTTTTCCATTAGCTATCAGGGTCATTGTATGAATTCCCTAGAGGAAACTCCTGAAGTGGGAGAGAAGGTTGGGTACTAGTGCAATCATGCAATTCATCTTTTCTTCAAATATTAATGAAAGTAAAGTTCCTTACCTGAAGAGTGAATACTTTCAGTGTTTCAGGGTGAGGGTCTGGGGACACATCAGAGATGAATGTAGTTACTTCCACTGGTTCTGTTCTTGGCATTTCCCATAGCCCTGGACCAGTCTGGGTATGTTTTCTGAGTGCTGTTGCAGCCTGGACCTTGGAAGAACACTTGAAAGATTCTTTTATCTTAGAGTTGTATATTCGGCCTTTGGAAAACCTGATCAATATCTGTCAGGAAAAGGCCTGAGAGAGTGACAATACTAAGAAAACTTTACCAAAACCAGGCAGAGGTGTTGATTTGCCTTTTTTTCTTTTGGCACATAGAGCAATCCGGTGGTATCTAGGCTGATAACTGCTTGCTTTGATTACAGGTTCACCCAGGAGAACCTCCATTTGACTTGGAGCTATTCTACGTTAAGTACAGAAATTTGTACGTCTATTTAAAGTATTTATATATTTGGATTTTATATGAATTAAACTTCCTTTCCCTTGTTACTTTATCTTCTCTATTTTCAGAGACTGGCCCCTAAGGCATGACCCACAGATGTTGGCAGACTCAAGTTCATCTTAGGCAGTAATACTCAACTTTAGCTGCTCATAGAATTACCTTAGGAGCTTCTTAAAACTCCAAATCCCTTGTTCCATCCAAGATCAGTTGACTAAGACTTAGAGTTGATCCCAGGGATTTTTGTTTTTTAAAAATTTCCCTGGACTGAGCCAGCCAAGGACATAGTGGTTGCAATGGCTGGATCCCACATGGTTGACTGTGTGATTTGAGCCCCAGGCCTAGTGGCTTGAGAAATGCCAGGTGCATGCGTATGCATTCCCAAAATACTGAAAAGAGGGAGAGAAAAACAAACAAACAGAAACTCTCGTAACAGTTCTCATGTGCACCCAGGGTAGAGAACAACTGTTCTACAGCATATACTGCTTTCTCTCTTGCATTTTTTCCCCTCTGTCTGCTACCTGTCCACTTTTATTAATATGTTAGTGACAGTGTGCCCACACTTGCCTCCCTCTGCTTTAAGCAAGTTTCTATAGAAGCTGCTTTTAAGCCCAGTCTCTAGTAGCTTCACAACAAATCATTCTGCTGTTTCTGTGTTAGATGATCATCCTATTCACTGAACACCTTAAATCTCAATTATTTGCTATCTGTATGCTTGTCTCATGATTTCCATCTCTTTGGATAGTTCCTACTTACATTGTAAATGGGCCACAATGGAAGAACTGGAAAAGGATCCTCGCATCGCACAGAAGATAAAGCGATTTAGGAATAAACAAGCCCAGATGAAGCACATTTTTACTGAGGTGAATAGAATAATCCTTACAGACTCATTGACTAATGCCTTTCTTGCTGCATTAGGTACTTAGTGTAGGTTTCTGCTTCTAAGCCCAAGTCGAGGTTCTGTACAGATCTATTGCTCAAATCAGATTGGTATGTGCTTGCTTCTAGCAAAACTAGTCTACAATAAGCCAAAGAAAACAATTGTCTACCAAAAATAGCTTATATTATCCCACTTTTAATATAAACTGACAACTCATAAGAATATGCATCTTGATCTGAATATCAGTCAACTGGGTGATAGGAATAATCACACAGTTCCTTCATCCCTACCTGCCCCCCTCAAAAGGGCATTACAGAAAGACTTAAAATTGAATATAAAAAACAAAACAGCTGAAAGTTTTAGAAAATAAATAAATGCATTCATATAATCTTGGAAATGTCTGTCATTCTTGAAGCGTAGATTTGAATACTAAACAAATCTGTGGTGGCTGTGTGTCAGAAAATACAAACATCTTAAGTAAATATTAAGGAAATTTATGTATACATTGTGTACATATGCATTCTTCCTGATTACCTACATGCACATACCTATGAGGAGTCTTCAAAAAGTTAATGGAAGGGGTGATGTAATGGTGGTGCAGCTAGACCCACATGGAAGGATCCAGGGTTCACAGACCAGGGCTTCCCTCTCTGTATATACTGGGCATGAATATGCATACATACAATCAGAGCTGTCTGGGGATAGATCAGAGTATGACTATCCTGTTGGGGTGCACATTGCCCCACTACTGAAGAAATAGATGGATAATCTTTGAAAAATGTTCATGGACATCAGGAAAATTTTGGCACCGAAATTATTACTTTAATTCCATTTTCCACGGAAGTTCCTTGTGTATGGCATACATTATTCTTATCTGTAGGGAGCAGCCCAAATCTGAGCAAACATGGTGACCCTTAGACACATGCAGAAACACAGTTCCATGGACAGTCATATGCAGGTCAATGAACACCATTAACGTGAATACGCTAATTGGACTACCATTAACATGTAAATCGCTAGTTGCCTCTGTGTTCTGAAACTGCAGGTGGTATTGGGTTAAAGGCAGCCACATATGTTAATCAGAATTGGCCTGAGAAGATGAGAGAAAACTTACGTAGAACTACATGGCACCAGGTGTCTTCATATCTTCAGCTGATTAACATCTGAAAACAGCTAGCTTTGCATTCTACTTCCCTTCCCCCATTTTCTGTTCTTTAAAAGAATAAACCTGGGAACAGTTGGGGATTGCAGCTGCCTCCACCAGAGAAGTCAGGGTCACCTGATCCCCGCTTTTTCCTACATGTGAGTCTTTGTGTATTTATTTTTATGTTTATTCTCTAATCCACAGCCACTGTCCCCCCCTCCCCCCTCAGAGCACACATTCATTTAGCTGTGTGGGACACAACACTTATCAAGTATGAGAACCTTTTTACTTACATTCACACATAGGCCAGCCCATGACCTAGTGGTTAACAGAGCCAGAGCACACATAGCCAACTGCACAGCTGAAGTCCTAGCCCCAGTGGCTTGAAAGACATACTAGACTTATATGCGTGTATGCATCAAATCCTGACAAGATGGAAAAATGGAGGCAAAGAGATTGTGATGTGACCATTCACCATGGGGGGGGGGGGGCGCGGTGCTTTCTCACTTTCTTCTCTCATTCTCTGTCTCTCTTTAGCCAGTGCATATGTCCTCTGGTAAATTAGGGGGGAAAAAAATAACTAAAAATTCCTTGGGGTTGGGAACTCCTGCTTTAATTTATAATAGTCTATACAGCTCTGTGGGGTCATGGCATGACCATGCCCCATTGGGGGATGCTTTCTCTCACCCTCGCTGGCCAACACACATACCCTCTGGCTCATTTTTTTTAAAAGATATATTTACACATACACATTACACACATACATATGACAAATAGCTTTAATGATAACCAGTGTTCTTATAAGTCAATGAGAAAAATATCAAACCTCAAGTAGAAAGAGTGGATAGTTTAAGAGGGAATGCAGAAACAAGGAAAAAATGGTCCTTACCATGTAAAAATGTAGTCAATTTACAGTAGTAATCAAAGAACAGTACATTAAAATTGCAGTTGTCTAGTTTTTACTTATCAAACATTTGAAGGTTTTTTAGGAACAGGTGTTATCTGTCCACTGCTGGTGTGGATGTAGGGAGCAGACATTCTGGTCCTCCCCTGGGTGGGAGCAAACTGAGTATGACCTATCAGAAAGGCAGCATGGCACCAGGCCTGAAACTTGGATACTTTGTCCTAGAAAATCTAATTCTGTCATATATTTTAAAGAAATCATAAAGTCTGTGCACAAAGAATCAGCCATGATAAAGAATGGAAAGTTGAAAACAAGCAAAGTGATAAATAATAGGCATTTGTTAAGTTATGCTACGTCCCAAAGAATGGGATACTATGCGGCTCACAGAAGCAATATTGGAGAAAAATTACTAATGACATAGAAAGATGCTTAGTGTTCTAAGCTGTTGTTACTGGGAAATGTCAGGCTCTAACAGTGTATATGACAGTTCCACTTTGGGGCTACAGGAGAAACAGAGCGCCATAATAATGCAAAAATGAAAGACTTAACTAAATAAATGGAAATGCCAACATCATCTTCTGTGGTTGATGGGATGGTGACAGGTTCTGTTTTCTTCTTTTTTTTTTCCTGAACATATTTTTTTTGATTTTACACAAATAACTTGAAGAAAAGAAACAGCAAAAATTATTCTTAAAATAGGAAGTTACTCGACATACTGGTCCCTAAAGAGTGCACTCAGATGCCATCAGATTGTAGTGAATTGTTGTACACTCTTACCAACTTATTTGTCAGACTCCTTTTTCTCAAGTGATTTAAAATATATGTATTATATTATATATTACACATTTTATATATTATAGTATAGTATAGTATATTATGTGTAATATATGTGCTATATAACTATTACATATAGTATAATTTTACATATACATAAGTATGTATATATTTCAGACAGAGCAAGGGGCTAGACAGTGACATAGTACTAAGACATGATGTTCTGCATAGGAAGGTTACCAATTCTCATCCAAAGACTTTCATGAGTATGCCAAGCCTGTGTATGCCCATAATCCAGGGCAGGCTGAGCCTAGAGGTAGAGCACAGCATCAAGACCCTGTTGGGGGTGCTGTTTCTCTCTCCATGTGTTGTCTCTTTCACTCATAGGAGAAATAAATAAACTTTAAAATACATGTATTTTAGGACAATGTCAGTAAACATTTCTTTATCCCAATTTGAGAGACTAGCTCTTTAGCCATATCATTTGGCCCCAGCCCTCTCCATACTTTAAAGCCTCTGAGAACTATTTTCATGGCTATGTTCTTCTGACAAAGAGTTAGAGAAGAAAGGTGATGACTAGAATTGAAGGAACCGTTCTTGGAGAAAAATTATTAATGACCTAGACAGACTCTTAGTGTTGTAAACTGTCATTCCTAGGAAATGTCCCCCATTATTTACATTCCATACTTTGTAGAATATTTTATTCATACTTCTGTGTTAGCAAGTTTTTACAGTGTAGTAACTCATTTACCTACCCATTTCTTTTATTTTAAGCCTGTGAGAGAGAGCCTATGTCTTCCTCCTATTTGTCGCTGGTGCTAGGTACAAGAGCAGTACTCAATAAATATTTGGCTGTCCCCAGGTGAGGGAGGAAGGGTTGCCTTATATGAGTTCTCTGCTTCAGACCCTTTTGCACTTCTTGTGTTCTTGGAAAGGTCTCAATTTCTTAATGAGCAGTCCCAACCTTTTTTGGCACCAGAGACCTTCATAGAAGACAGTTTTTCCAGACAAGGATGGAAGGGATGGTTTATGAAAGCACACGGCCTAGATCCCTTGCATGCGCAGTTCATAGTACGGTTTGAGCTCCTATAAGAGTCTAATGCCAGTGGGACCAGCAGTTAGCATAATGGCTATGTTGCTGGACTCCCATGTAGTCAACCGCAATTCGAGTCCTGGACCCAGTGGCTTAAACTACCGCCGGGCACGTGTGCGTGCATGCCTAAGATCCCGAGCAGAGAATGAAGGAGAAGGGATTGCAGCGTGGCCATCCCCCCTGGGGGGGTGATTTCTCGCTTTCTGTCTCTCTGTCTCTCTCTGTCTTTCTGGTGAGTGCATGCGTCCTATAGCAAAAACTTCTCCAAAAAAAGAAAAGAAAAATAAAGAATCTAATGCCAGTGGTCTGACAGGAAGAGGTGCTGCGGTGGTAATGAGAGCAATTGGGAATGGCTGTAAACACAGATGAAACTTTGGTCGCTCATCCACTGCTCACCTCCCTCTGTACAGCCTGGTTCCTTACAGGCCACAGACCAGTACTGGTCCATGGTCTGGGGGTTGGGGACACCTGCCTTAATTTATAATAGTCTACACAGCTCTGTGGGTCCATTTCCCGATGTAGTCCCAAGGGAGTGGTTTTCCTTGGTTGGAGATAGAGAGTAGAAATGTGTTAGGGTGCTTATTAATAAAGCAAGAAATGTTCATACTCTCGTGGGAAATAAAGGCTTTATGAAGATTGGAGGACTTCATGAAATTACGAAGTACTAGTGGGGAGTAGTTCCTATAACACACTTTAGCCTTGACCTGTTCAATGTTTCTATTAGTAACTTGGGTAAATAATATTCTTATGACATAAAGAGTAACTTAGTTTTAAATAGAGCATCTTTATTTCCATCATTTCTAACTACTGTCTGAGACAGCCAAGACATGTGTGAGAGAGGCATGAGAGGCATTGAGTTCCCATACTCCATGTAGAAGCCTTCAGACCCTAAATCCTGATTCCTTTTGAATACCCAGTGCTGGGAAAATAAATGAAAACACCTAGTCCAGGTTTACCAGGACAGGGTAGGATGAGTCAATATGGAACTAAGTGTGATGTCATATATTGGTATTTTTTAAGAATCTTTTTTTTTTT